GACACTGTCGTCTCCGTGCTGTAACACTACGCTGCTTGACCCGGCTCTCACTCCTTCACTCAGGAAACCCGTTCGGCTGTCCCCCCGGGTCGGGACAGAGGAGAAGGGATTGCTGTGTGGCCATCCAACCAGGGGGTGATTTCTCACTTTCCCTCTGTCTCTCTCTGCCTGGCAAAGGAACACGCTGTAAGGCAAAAACCTCTCAAAAAAAAAAAAAATTCAGTTTCTTGGGGTGGGCAGGTGGCATGGTGGTTAAGGGCACTGGACTTCCCCACGTGCCCAACTGTGGTTCGATTCTTGGGCCTGGTGGCTTCATTTCTCACTTTCTCTCTCTTGCTCTCTCTCACTCTGTCCCTATCTGGTCAAATTACAATAAATAAATAAAATAGAGTTAAATAAAATATTTTTTAAAAGGTGATGAAAATACCACTAATAATGCAACAATTATATCTAGTGTGTAGTGAGTGCTCATTCTGAAATACTGATTTCTGTAAGCCTTTGGTTCCCTACACAGGAAAGGTCCTGTGTCGACCTCCGTTTTCTTCAAGACAAGCCACTTGTGATTCCTGCTTCCCTCCAGCCCCTCAGCTTCTCTCTGGTTCCAGAGAAGTCCTTTCAACACTCTCATGTCAGTGTCCCCACACAGCCCAGCCCTCCCATGATGCCCTCATGCCTGTGGCACCAAGCCATGGTCCTCAGTGTGGGGCGGGGGACATCTCTGGCCGGCATGCCTCGCTGGGCCGTGTGTGCAGGTGCTCTGAAAGATAAGGGTTCTTCTGGCACTTTCCATCTTGGCTTTTACACCCACAGTCCACTGTGCTTGCAGTTTTGTTCGTTCTTCCCCAGCCTCAGTTCTTTCTGGAATTAATTTTATTATTACTGGGACCAGCAATTGGTGTAATGGCTATGTCACTGGACTCCCACGCAGTGGACCATGGTTCGAGTCCCAGACCTGGTGGCTTAAATTCACACCGGGTGCATGTGCATGCGTGCCCAAGATCCCAAGAGGAGAATGGAGGAGAAGGGATTTCAGTGTGGCCATCCCCCCGGGGGGGAATTACTCTCTGGGTCTTTCTGGCAAGCGTGCGCACCCTGTAGCAAAAACCTCTCCAAAAAAAATTAATTTTAGGGGCCAGCAGGTGGCGTGGTAGTTAAGGGTGCTGGACTCCCACATGGTCAACTGCAGTTCAAGTCCCGGACCTGGCGGCTTGCTCTCTCTCTCACCTCTCTGGTCAAATTGAAATAAACAAGTGAATGAATAAAGTTAAATAAAATAACTTTTAAAAATTAATTTTATCATTATTATTATTTTCCAATTTGACCAGAGAAAGGCAAGGAAAATGAGAAAGCAAGCTGCTAGGTCCAACTGGAACTCATGGTCAGCCATGTGGGAGTCTACCACCTCAACCGCCATGCCATCTGCTGGCTCTAACCTTGCCAACTTCAAAAAGTTGGTATCTGGGGCCAGCGGTGGTGTGTGGTTAAGGCACTGGACTCCTTCCACATGACCAACCACGGTTTGAGTCCCAGACCTTGCGGCTTACTTTCTCTTTTTCTCTCTCTCTGCCTCTCTGGTTAAAACAAGTAAATAAATGGATAAAATTTGTCCGGACCCCGGGGGGACAGCCGAACAGGTTTCGTGAGTGGAGTGAGAGCCGGGACCGGCGGCCAC